CCAGTTAGGATTTTGCCTTTCTTAAGATTTCATTGTTCAATTAGAATTTTTGAAAATAACTATTAGTATGTTTCACCAGTCTCCCTAGAAACTTGATGTGTTTGTGCTTTTCAGTTTTCAAATTATGAAAATTGTATATGCACACTAGTTTTTAAGTAGTCCTTTTTCACTAGATATTTATTTACCTCTTTATAGTTAAAATAATTCTTTTCCCAATGAATGAGTTGTTGTGCATGTTTTAAAATATACCTTACTTTTTATTTTTCTTATTCTAACAGGTATATTCATGGTACAGAATTTAGAAAATAAGGGTAAACTCAGTAATAACTTAAAAATGGCCTCTAATCTCACCTGGAGATACAGTTGTAAGGTTTGAAATTGAGAATTACAAGTCCTCTCAAGTTGTTCTCCTTTTTCAAGTATGTTTTGGTTACTGAGACCCTCGAATTCCCATATGAATTGTAGCAGCAGCTAGTCAGTTACTGCAGAGGAGCGCGCTGGGATTGTGATTGAGACCACGTTGAGTACACGGATCATTCTGGGGAGCATTGCCATACGAAGAGCGCTGTCATTTGATCCATGAATGTGTGTAGTGTGTCTGTCCAGGTATTTAGGTCTTCTTAAATTTTGTTTCAAAAATGCGTACAGTTTACATAGTATTATTTTACTTTATTTTTTTGCCTTTATACTGAGTACAAGTCTGCAAGGTACCGGGATCAGAATTGTATTATTGCCCCGCCACTTGCTGCCACCATGGATGCTGCGGTCTTTCTTTGCCCTCTGTAAAATCTTGCACAAAATTGGACGTCAGTAACTCTTTCTTGAATGAATGATTATATAATTGTTGGATGATGCTTGAGAGTCCTTGTGATAATGTCTTTTTCCCAAAATTTCCCCTCTTCTTATCTATGCCCTTTCTCTTCCTTTCCTCCAGCCTGGGTTTCAGCCTGCCTGTGGCATTGATTTTCCCTGCCTGTGGACTCTTCCTTTCACTCTGAATTGACCATTCCTGTGAGATGGAGAACTGGTAAGTCGGCTTAGCCTCTCATGGACTTGTTTTCTGTCCTGCAGAGACTGGGCTCGCTAGGCATCCCCCCCCCGTAGAGGTGCTGTGGGGGATAAATAACGCGCGTTGGCAGCCCGAGCACATCTGCTCGTTCCTCGTAAGTGCAGGGTAGCATAGCTTTTGTGGTGACGGCTTTGTGACCGCCCCGTGTTGACTCTCTGATCC